TGACGAGTATGTTTACCTGGAACAAAATGGTTCGACTTGATAAATTCAACTTCGATCGAGATCGTCAATTGATGGATTCATCTCGACTAGGCAACGTTGTTGAGATCACGACACATCCTCTCCTCAGGTATACTTCAAAACTTGAAAACAACATTGTACAACCAGTTACCAGTTTTGACTTATGGATCTGAGATATGGTACTTCCCTTCGGATAGTATGAGGAAGCTCAAGGTTGCTCAGCCAGCTATGGAGAGGGCTATGCTCGGGGTTTTTCTGCGTGATAGAATTAAAAATTAGAATATCCACAGTATAGCCAGAATAACTGACATAGCCCAATAAATTTTCAATTGACGAAATTGTAAAAGGTTCCAACATCGCCGATATGTGATAATACTAGTTATTAAACCTGTCTTTAGGATATAAATATTATGTGTTACTAAGGGTTTACTATACAATATCAACAGGTTATCAACTATGACGCAAATAGTATTAAAGGGAAATTTCGTGCTGTTTCCTTTTTTTTTAAACTAGCTTTTATGACTTTTTTATGTTTGTTCCTTGTCGTGGTATTTGTCTAATAGTAGTGCCACATATAAAAAAAAATTCTAGAAAATATTGGAAATAAGATATACATAACATTTTATTTGGTGCTTTAAATCATAAATTGCTTCATAACTCGTTATTATGATGCAAAGTAACCGGGATATTAACGTAATTTTTACAAATTTCAAGCAGTTTTTTTTTTCTGGACCGTGCATAGGAATTGCATGACTTAAACTGTATTTCATTATCTGAACACTAGACAGCCAGTTGTCGCTGATCTCCACCCCTTTATGGATATACATACATACATACACACCCGTATACATAAATGATTTGGCAACATCTGTCTTCCATCCAATTATAATGTGGGTGTCATCAAAGCAAGAGTGAATAGCCTATTGTTAAGCTAAGCCATTGCGATTTTCCATATTCGTCTTTATCACCATTTACCATCACGTGAGACAGTAGTCAAAAACTGGTTTGTAATAGTTAAAAGAAAATATTGTAATTACATTAAAATATACCTAAAATGCACGTATAGCAATATGAAATGCTGTTTTAGTCTCTAAATGAAAGTGACCCAGAAGACGCATAGGAATAAAATTAATACTGTAGTAATGCGCGCAAGGGGTGACTGAATGATAGCGTAAGAAATTGTGTGATAAAAGAAAAGTATAGTTCGCAAGAAGATTTTGCGGTCAGAAATAAGAAAGGAATCCTGCGGTGGTTTGGACACGTAGAAATAATGAATGAGGAAAGACTGACACAGCAAATTTATGTTGCAGAAGTGAGTGGCAGAGCCGGCAAGGAAATTAGACAGAAGGTTATGGAAAAAATTGGTGATATATTGAAGGTGAGCCAAATTAAGAATACTTTTAACCGACGAGTATATTTATAGGTGTAAAAGAAGCAAGAGAGGTGTGTCAAAATCGTGACAAATAGAAGTTCGTAGTTTATGGGTAACGGACTTTGGAGATAACGTTGTGTGTATAACATAATACTTTTATATCGCGGCAGAAAGTGGCTAAGGAAAGATTGCTGACAAAGAAATAAATCTACAAAGGAACGAATCAAAAACCAAGCGCATTGTAAGTGCATATTCGACGTGAGCGGCCGCGGCCGTGTCTTTCGAAATAAAATTTGACAAATCATGACTCCGCATAATTTGTAAGTTTGAAACAATGCAATATATATTTTAATTGAATTTGTAGACTAGGATGTGTGACGTTGAATAATCAAAATTCGTGAACGTGATTTTTGCAATGTATGTTAAGGTAGTTAAGATTCTTATTTAAAAAAAATAATTTAAGTATAATTGAATTTTAAATATTGGTTAGGATAAGCTTAAAACGTTTATTTCGCATGATATAGTAAATGATTTGAAACTCGATTGAAATGTCTTATTTTATAATTGTCATTAGATTTCGAATGAATATTTAAACCACTCATAACTATTGATTTTCAATTTTTATATTATATTTTATTTTATTATATTTTACTATATGATAATTAAATTTCTGGTTTTAGTTTTCTTTATTATTATAGTTTTTAAAAATAGTTTTTATATAGGAAAATGATAAAGTTTCTTTATTATAAAACTAAATTTAAAATTAGTTATCTTAATGCTCTCATAATCATAATTTTTATGATGTGTATACTTGAAAGGCATTAAAAGGATGATAAATATTATATTTAAATGTCTTCTTTTCTATTTCACTTTGATGATTAAGTATTTTTAATTAAATGTGTTTCGTGATAGAACATTTAAATTAATATTTTAACGACGTCAAAAACCTTATTTTCATTTAAGAAATAATAAATGTTTTGATGCCATTGTTGTTAATTGATAACATATTGCTGGTCGATATTAGATCATGGGGACAAATTCTCAATAATTGGATGCCCTCTAATTCTCTTCCTAACGCTATCAACTATGCAGTAAATATTGTATTGCTAGAAAATTTCACAAATCATCTATACAAATAAATAAAATTGAAGTGTCTGTTTGTAATGTCAAAATTACAGCTTTTTACTAAATGCATATGAAAGTATATACGGTACTTATAACAAAAACACAATTTTTAAAACTTTTGTCTGTCTGTCTGTTTGTTCCGGCAAATCTCCGAAACGGCTGGACCGATTTTGACGGGATTATCACTGGCAGATAGCTGATGTCACAAGGAGTAACTTAGGCTACTTTTATTTTGGAAAAAGAATTAGGGTTCCGCGCGAAAAAATTAAAACCCTAAATAACACGCGGGCGAAGTCGCGGGGAACAGCTAGTTTAAACTAAAGGACGTTAATTATTCGTTTTTCAGAAGTTATTTAATTCGGTTTTCTTTGGTGACATTGCTACGGTAATGTGGAGCAGGAGTGTGGTGGACTTATTTTTCAAGAACGCGACGATGCTTTCGTATTGAAGTGCAGTGTTTATACAATAGGGCTACGATGGCTATCCGAGTGCAGACTTAGAGCACGAAATCTGTTAAACTGCAATTGCTGCACAGCTTTACGACAGGTTGACGTTATAGACCCGAAACTCTTCACCTCTGTCTTGAAAGACGCTTTCAAGCTGCGTAAGTAGAAAGGATATCATCAAGGATCATCACCAACGGCATATATATCACTCACCTTCGATTTGCTAACCGTATAATAAATTCATTTGGAAAAACCTCTAGTTGTTAGGAGCACTATGCTCGAAGTTGTTGACAAGTATAAACATGCTCGAAAACATACTTAGGAACAATATTGTCAGATTTGGTAAGTCCAACTTCGAGTTGACCAGTCAATTGAAGGATTCAACTCAGCTGAGTAGCATTTAGGAGATTATGGTATACTATCTTCTCATCACGTTTACCACAAAACTTAAAAACAAGAGTGTGCAACCAGTGCGTGTTGCCAGTGGAGACATATGGATCTGAGACGTGGTCCTGCTGTTCGTATGACGTAGCTCAAGGTTATTCAGTAAACTATGGCTATGCTCGGATATAAAATCGGTAACGAAGATATCCGCAGTAGAACCAGACTACCGACCAACAGAATCCAGTTGTATGTTGTCTGATGTCATATTCATATTCATTCTACTAAACGTAGTGACTTCGACAAAGTATATCAATAATTTGAATACTACTTGTGTCTTCACTTGTTGCTAACAGCAACTGTTAGAGTTGTTAGAGTACAGATTCCGGTAGATATAATGTGTCATCATCATCATTACAGCCCTTAACAGATCCACTGCTGAACATAGATCCCAAGGAATGCCACAAAGCACTGTCCTCAGCCACCTGCATCCATCGACTTCCTGCATGTCTTACTAAGTCGTCACTCCATCCAATGGGGTTTGCCTTACACTTTGCCTACCGGTACGAGGCTGCCACTCGAGAACCTTTTTTTCCCATCGGTTGTCGGTTCTTCGACTTATATGGCCGGCCCGTTGCCGCTTAAGCTTACTAATTTGGGCTATGTCGTCACTCTGGTTCTACTGCGGATATTCTCATTTCTAAGCTTAACACGCAGAGAAACTCTCTCTATAGCTTGCTGAGCGACTTTAAGCTTCCTCATAGCATTGAAGGACTACGTCTCAGATCCATAAGTCGTCACTGGCAACACGCACTGGTAATGATTCATCATCATCATCATCATTACAGCCCTTCACAAGTCCACTGCTGAACATAGGCCTTCCCCAAAGAATGCCACAAAGCACGGTCCTGAGCCACCTGCATGCATCGACTTCCTGCATGTCTTACCAGGTCGTCACTCCATCTCGTGGGGGGACGCCCTACACTTCGCCTACCGGTACGAGGCTGCCACTCGAGTACCTTTCTTCCCCATCGGCTGTCGGTTCTTCGAGCTATATGGCCGGCCCATTGCCACTTCAGCTTACTAATCCGTTGGGCTATGTCGGTTACTCTGGTTCTACTGCGGATATCCTTATTCCTAAGTTTATCACGCAGAGAAACTCCGAGCATAGCCCTTTCCATAGCTCGCTGAGCGACCTTGAGCTTCCTCATCCGGCCAGCAGTGAAGGACCACGTCTCAGTTCCGTATGTCATCACTGGCAACACGCACTGGGTGTACAGTATCGTTTTCAAGGTTTGAGGTGTACCTGACGAGAAGATGTGCCGTAATTTCCCGAACGCTGCCCAACCGAGTTGAATCCGTCGATTGACCTCTCGGTCGAAGTTGGACTTACCTAGTCGGACTATTTGTCCCAGGTAAACATACTCGTCAACAACAATCCCGATAACGTACTTAACGGGAACCACAGAGTTTTTGTTACATATTGTATACTATACTTAAGCATCAATAATGATTTTATTTATAAAAAATAAAAAAGGAAATTGATAAAATATATTAATTATGCTGTAGAGACGCACGTTTCTAGTTGCTGGTTTTATCTGAATAATACTTGAACTGTCAAGAGAGTTCACAACAAGATCGAGATTATTAAATCACTCAATGTATTTATCGTCGCCTTATAGGTGACACATATCGTATTGTTGGTTGAATAAAACGTGATTGTTTTAGATATAATGATAGTGTTTTTGTGTATTTTTGTGTTTATTATTACCAACGTGACCGGTTACCAGTAAGCAACCTATTTATTATTTTATTACTTATTTACTTTCGTTCGATATAAATAAAAACTATAATATAAACTGTTAAACTTTTTACTATTTTCGTATTTATTAAGATAACTAAAGTTGTATTCTTAATATTTTTAGGGTTCCGTACCTCAAAAGGAAAAAACGGAACTCTTATAGGATCACTTTGTTGTCTGTCTGTCTGTCAAGACTGGTATATAAATAAAGCTTCCATTAAAACGTACTTCAAGCCGCTGAAGAAGATTGGTCAAATTTTACCATCCGTCAAGTGTCATATCCCTCTACAAGATGCAGGAGTGTACAAGCTGGATTGTGAATGTGGTCTCTCGTACATAGGACAAACAAAAAGATCTATTAAAACCCGCGTTAAAGAACATATAGCTGACGTGAAGCACCGACGTATCGGGAAGTCTGCAGTTTGTGAACATGTTCAGGATCGTCCCCGTCATTACATTAGATTTGATAGACCACAAATCCTCGCAAAGGAACACCGATTCCTCCCAAGGATGATTCGCGAGGCTATTGAAATTAAAAAACATCCTAATTTCAATAGAGAAGATGGATGGGTGCTGCCATCTGCTTGGGATCCCATAATTAATAAAATCAAATCCAAACCCAAGTATACCACTGCTAGACTTCAAGATACTGTAAGCTCATTCTGCGTAAATCGAAACAAAAATTAATATTAAAAAACTGAAGGTAGCCGGGCTAACTATGACAGCAGGACGTCAAACAACTCAGTCCCCCGTGACCACGGGTGCTGGAAAGCACCCGAAACGTCAGGAATATAAAAATAAGTTAAAAATAAGTTAATATACGCGATAAAATCCGTAAAATTAGTTTTATTTAAAAACATTTTTTTTATTGCTTTGTTATTATAAACTTTACGTGGTAGAGTCATGCTGCTATATTAGTAGTATAGTTGTAGCACGAATGGATCGGCTCGACCGGGGAAGGACCACGCTCTCACAGAAAACCAGCCTAAACTAGCAGCTTAACGCTGCTGTGTTTCGTATGGTGAGTGTAGAGAACCGGGGACCCTTTTTACTGGCAAAGAGGTATTCCATCTTATTCCTCACGGGTGACAACGCATCTGCATCTTGAGTCTTTATTGAGGATAGGTGTAGATGTCTATGGGTCACAGTAACCACTTACCATCAGGTGGACTGTATGCTCGTTTGTCATCCTATCCTATAAAAAAAAATCTGCTGCCCATCTCTTCTTTCAGTTTCCATCTATCGCCTTTTACAAATCTTACACTGCAAAGAGCGAACGATTTACGTAGTAGTTACCACGGCATAAGGAAAGGACGATTGCCTCGCAGATAGTCTGAAAAGTAAATTGTTTTTATATCTTTTCAGAAATAATGACGGAAAGACGAAGATAATCATAGATAACGATGCTGGCGGAGACGATGCAATGGCTATATTTCTTGCTTTATTATACGAAAAACATTTTGATGGGTATGAAACTTTTTTAATGTTTTTAATTTTAATACGATTCTTTATATTAATATTTACAAAATTATATTATCTTTATAAAATTAAGTAATTTATGTCGTACAGCATGAGAAGTTTTTTTTTTTGCTCCAGTTACAATTAGAATGAACCGCATGAATTCTATGTTCAAACAAAATATGACGTAATGAGTTTTTGTTAGCATCATATCATAACTTTTAACTGCACTGTTTTGAACGATTTAAACTTTTATTTTTGTATACAAAAGGTTAGATCGTTCAACACAATGGAGTTAAAAGTTATGATATGATTTTCATTTGTTAGTTGTGGCGTGAAAAATGTTAAATTTTAATTAGAATTTGAGAATAAAATAAAAATGCATGACAATTTTAAATAAGATAATAATCCTCAAGTTTTATAGTATTTAAAATATATATAATAATATATTTTTGTATCATATTAGTCAATCATTTCTGAGAGAATTTTGTAACAGTCTTCGGTGGAATTTTTGTGATTGACCCGTTCTCCCGTAATATTTTAATCTGTGTATTTTTTTAGTATTTTTATTTTTTTTCAATAGTGCCATTATGGATCGAACTCAGGTTGCTCGCATATGTACAACGAAATTACATAGTAGAGCCGTGCTGCAGCTATATTAGTAGTATAGTTGTAGCACGAATGTGTCGGCTCGACCGGGTAAGGACCACGCTCTAACAGAATACCAGCGTAAAATAGCAGCTTAACACTGTTGTGTTTCGTATGGTGAGTGTACAGAACTGGAGACCCTTTGTACTGGAAATGAGGCATTCCATCTTAGTCCTCTAAGGTGACAACGCATCTACATTTGATTCTTTATTGAGGATAGATGTGGATGTCTATGGTTTACAACAACCACTTACCATCAGGTGGACTGTGTGCTAGTTTGTCTCCTATCCTATAAAAAAAAAAATTAAGGACGTAAGCATCAGGGTTACTGCGGTTCATCTCATTTTAATAATTATGAGAACAAAAATATCCATACGAGTGATGTCTGATACTTTGTTTGCAAAGTTTGAAAATATAGATCTAATAATATTTTATAAGCATTTTTACGTTTAAATATAAGCTATAATTTAAAAAGGGTTTATGATTTTTAGGCCTACATTGATTGGTCTCACAACCGGTAATGGTAATACCATTGAAGACAACGTATGCATAAATAATCAAAGAATTCTTAAAGTCGCCAATAGACAAGACGTAAGTTCATATAATTATTTTAAAATATTTAAAAAAAACTTTTTCAAAACCAATTTACTTCGTAATATGAATGACTAATTCGAATTCAATGTGGGACGGGAACCTCATGAGATAAGTCCCAAAAATAACTTGCAAAATATAGTAATCTGATAGTGGAGCCCATTGTATCATTATCATCAATATTACCGCCTTTCACAAGTCTATTACGGAACATAGGCCTCCCCCAAGGAAAGTCACGAAGCACGGTCCAGAGCCACCTGCATTCATTGAATTCGAATAATAGTATTTTTTGAATAGTAGTGATTACAATTACTCACTATATATAAAATATTCAAGGTCTTTTTTTCTACCGACTTCAAAAAAAAAAAGGTGAAGGTTCGCAATTCGACTGTATTTTTTTATGTGTGTTACCTCAGAACTTTTATCTAGGTGAACCAATTTTGACTTTTCTTTTTTATTTAAAAGCTGGTGCTTCTCATGTAGTATCATATAAATTTGATCAAGATCTGACTAGTAGTTTTTGAGTTATCCTTAATAATGAGTATTTAATTCACTTCCACTACATTGATGATGTTTTCATTTTATTTATATTGAAGTCAGTTGTACAAAATTTATAATTTTATTACTTGTTTTATTGTTGCTTTGCTCACATTTATGGATTAACATATTCAGTATTTTTTTTATAAATATGACGCATTATAAATGCAATGAGTGAATTTGTTACATTATTTGTTTTATGATCTAATTGTAGATAGAGATACCAGTTTCCGTTTCATGTTTTAGAGGATTTGATAAGATTAAATAAAGGACATAGGATAAAATATCATATTGTTGTTTTCCACAAAATGCTGTAGTGGTATCAGTAACAACATTTATTAATATAAAAACATTGTTAATACGCAATGTAACGTCGTTTGTGTCTCTAACATCGCGCGTCAACTCAAAGTGATTTTTATTTATTTATTTATTTAACAATTTATGTACACACAAACAATGGAAGGGACACAACATGATGAAGAGTTTGTACAAGGGCGCTACTTATCTCATTATGAAATTTCTTCCAGTAGGCCAGTTAAAAAGATATGTAATAAATAAAAGATAATAAGGTGTGCACTTTGTTATTATATACACATACATACATATTGTGCCGGACGGGCGTAACTCTCCGGAGTAAATGTTGTCGGAGATACCCCGCGAGTCGCTCACGTCCTACACCTGTAGGTTCCAGACTCCTCCAACTGCCGTCTTTCACTGCCGTCTCTTTGGTTGCTGCGGATAAACTGTGGACTGAGGTTCAAAATTAAAATGCACGATTTGTAAATTAAATTAGCAAGGGAGTGGCCAGCGGATCGACTAATTAATTTGTCGCGAGATTTTACACTGTTATTTATTTATCACTATTTTTCAACTATGATTGTTCACTATATATTTTAAAACACAGATTTAATTAAACACACAGTAATATTAAAATTTCTATTGGTTTTCTAAAATTTCTATTCGTATTTTTAAAATATCTGTTGGTAATATCAAATTTCTATTGGCAGTAACAAGTTTCTATTGGTATTCTCTACAATTTCTATTGGTAATTTTAAATATCTATTGAAAGTAACAAATTTCTACTGGTAGTATCCAAAATTTCTATTGGTAGCAGCTGGTTTTCTAACACTACTGACTAGCAGCTATTAATCAACTAAAATTAGTTGAATTTAAACACTTTTGTAACTGCGAATATCAGTTACCACTTTTTCCGTCTAGCTAACACTTTTCACGAAATGTAACGGCGAAATTTCCGTTACCACTTATTTCAGCTAGCCAACACTTTTTCACTATATGTAACTGCGAATATCAGTTACCACTATTTTTGGCTAGCTGACACTATTTTTCTATGTGCAACTGAGAATTTTCAGTTGCCACTTTTTCCGACTATGTGTAACTGCGATTTTTCAGTTACGACCTTTTTCGGCTAGCTAAACTTTTCTATTTCACTTTAACTTTTCACTGTGTTCTGCTACTAGTCACTTCAGCTACTACCGGATACTGCTGCTTGTTACTGGTAGTTCTTCCTACTACCATGTTACTGTGATTTGCCCCCATAAGGTAGACTTCGGCTATACTCTATAGAGAGCCGCTTGCCAATTCCCATTTGCCTCTTTATTTTCAATCATTTTTCTTTATGCAAATGGCACAAATTGCAACTTTTCTATATAATACAAATCTTAACTCTAACATGCTATACATCATTAAATAGACATTTTTGTTCTACATTAGTATGCGATAAAGGATAATTAATATATTTACATTTAACAAAGTTATTCATTGAAATGTCCTAAACTTTTACACTAATTGGTCATATTAATTCTTTAATTATCCTATAACTTTTAAATCGTGCTTAATTATACAAAATATTTCTTTATTATAACGATCTATACATCATATGCTAACTAAATACCATATTTACAACTCTTTTCAGACATAAAATTATTCTCATTAATTTTTTGCTTAAAACTATTACGCAGTTAATTTAAATTTCCAGAAAGTTCTATAGCGCGGCGCGCTGTGATTGGTCGATATTTTCTTAAACAAAATAAAGTTGTTTATATTAACTATTGTCAAATCGATCTTCTATACAAACATATTGAGAGTTGTAAATACATGGTAAAACTATATTTAATACATTATTTAGTCAATTTTTCCGTATTTTCATTTTTTAAACAAATAAATATTCCTTAATCACTTTCTCGTTTAAAGTCATTTTTGCCGTTGTGAACAGTCATTTTGGCCGTCTCGAACATTTCTCCCGCCGTGCAGCGTCGCGAAGACCCGTCGCAGCGGCGCTGCATAATTTCGGTGAGAGACGTTGCCTCTACTTCGGCAGCGGCACGAGTTTTCTGGTTGGCCTCTTGATTAGTCCATTCGCTGTGCGTACCTCCACAGTGCGGATCTGTCCGTCCGCCCCGGGGTATATGTTTTCAATCCTTCCTCGTGGCCAGGTGTTACGAGGTAACTGGCTGTCAGCTATGAGGACTGGATCGCCCACCTGGAGATCGGGGCCTTGCCCGTGGGCCTCCCGCCGGTTTTGAAGTTCCGGCAGATATTCTTTGACCCAACGCTGCCAGAACATGTCAGCGAGTATCTGGGAGCGTCGCCAGTGTTTTTTGCTGTTCGCATCTTTTTCACTAAAAACTCCAGGTGTTGGCAGTCTCGCAGATCCTCCCAATAGGAAGTGATTTGGAGTGATGGACTCGTTGTCTTTGCTGTCTACTGAGATGTGAGTCAATGGTCTGCTGTTTACTGTATATTCCACCTCGCAGAGCAGCGTGGTCAAGACATCTTCGTGCGGATGTCTCTCATGAAGGACGGTGTATAGTGCCGTCTTCACGCATCGAACAAGCCGTTCCCACACCCCTCCCATGAAAGGCGCGGAGGGGGTTATAAATCGCCAGACTATGCCTCGTCGGCTGGCTTCTTCTCGGAAGGCCTCTCGAAGCTCCTTGTCGGCACCGTGCATATTGGTGCCGTTGTCCGAGTAAATCTCGGTGGGACATCCTCGGCGCGCTGCGAATCTTCTTAATGCCAGTATGGCAGAGTCTGCGCTGAGATCTTTCACAATTTCCAAATGTACAGCTCGTGATGTAAGGCAGGTGAAGAGCGCCACGTATCTCTTCTGATGCTGACGTCCCACTGTTACGGAGAGTGGCCCAAAATAATCCAGGCCGGTGAACGTGAACGGTCTCTGGTGATGTGCGAGACGCGTGCTGGGATGATCACCGGTGGCTGGCATGGATGGTTGTGCCTTTCTTATGCGGCACTGAACGCATTGGCTTACTATTCTTTTAGTAGTGGGTCTTAGTCTGATTACCCAGTAATGCTGTCGAACCTCGTTGATGGTTGGTTCGGTCCCGCAATGATGCAGGCTACGATGCGTCCAATCAATATACAATTGGGTGATGTGATGATCACCATCCAATATAGCTGGCCCTTTCATATCTTCAGAGACTCCTTTTACAGCGGCTATTCGACTTCGTAGCGCAATGATCCCGTCTTTCAATTGTATCTGTAGTGGTCGTAGGCGGCTATCATGGGCGACCCTCTTATCGTTACGGAGATCGGCTATCTCTTGTGTGAAGGAGTCTTCCTGGATGACATGTACCAGGAGCTTTTCGGCCTTTCTTATATATTCGGCCTCCAGTGTGATGTATTTGTTTACATCTTTGCTTTTCACCTGACTGGGAGGCTGCGCGAGACGTCGCGGATTGCACTTCGATCTCCTCCAGTCGGGGTCTTCCTCTCTATTTTTTTTTGTCCTTTTATAAAAGGTCCTGTCGGTTGTTTTGCGGCAGAGTGTTATGAATTGAAGCACTCTGGCCGTAGCTCGCACTAAGCGTTCCCATTTCGAAAATTTCGTCGGATCGGGAATGGCCTCTTTATATAGCGGAGCTCTATATCTTTCTGTGATGGTGAGAGATCTTTCTTCACCAGTAGGTTCGGATGACGTGGGTCGTTCTGTTGGCCATGCTGACGGTTCTTTGTATAGAAATGATGGGCCACTGTACCACTCATGATTTGAGTCGAAGTTCGGTGGTACGTCCCTCGTGGCGGTGTCAGCTATGTTTAATTTACGGTGCCAGCGCCAGTCATCCACTTTACTATGGTCCTCTATGGTTTCCTCGCTCTTGTGCAGCTCATTGGCCGCGTGGACGCGCTGATGCGGGGCTTTATTGTGCGCCCCGTGTAGCACCCATCCCAGTTCTGTGAGCGAGGCTATTGGCTGGTGCGGTGGACCTCTGCGTACTTGTGTGGCTATTAAGAGTCTCCAGTTGTCTTGTCCTATCAGGATCCTAGGGTTGCCTGAATCATATGTCAATTGATCCTTTAAGCCTTTCAAATGCTTACAATTTTCTATGTCTGTTGCACGCACAGTCTGCGGCCCCAAGTTTAGGCTGGCGACCGTGCGTGCTCTGAATGGCACCCTTTTTCTATGGAGACTCTTCAGTGACACTTTGACTCTTTGGGAGTCCGGCGAATCGAGGTTAGTGTTCCCGATAGCTGTGATCTTGAATGGGTCCAACCGCCCTTTAGCTCCAATTTGATCGGCAATCTCTTGATCCATTAACGAGACTGTCGACCCATCATCCAGCAGAGCGTGTGTGTTTATTGCTCCCGCCGGTCCAATTACTCGAACTGGAATTATCTTCAAGTAAGCTTGATGCTTTGATACAGCGAATGAGTTTGCCACTGTCTCTTGAGGTTCTTTTAGTGGGCCCTCTGTCTTTTCCTTTCTATTATTATGAAGGAGTCGATTGTGTGTCGCGTTGCATCCTTTTATTCCACACTTCGTGGTTTTGCATCTGTGTGTCTGACTTCTATAACGCAGACACCGGAAACATAAATTCCTTTGCTTGGCGAGTTGCCATCTTTTATCAATATCTGCCTCTTTAAACTTGTTGCAGTCGGATCCGTAATGACCCTCTTTTTCGCACACACTGCATTTCGGAGACGGCTTAGTGGTAGCCGTGTGCGTCCTATGCACTGGACGATTATTTTGCGCTCCGCTTATGATCTCAGGAGGCGCAAATGCACTACAGTAGCGAGCTTGTTCGGTGATAAATTCACTGAAGGAACCGAGGTCTGGTCTTGAGTCATACTTTTCTGTATAAATTCTATACCACTGCGCGCGTATAGAGTTTGGCAGTTTGTCTGTGAGCACCCTGTCTTCATTGCTGACAGGTGCCTGGTTAGGTCTTTTTATTATGGGATTCTTGGTTGCTTCTTCCGGTTGGGGATCCTGGTAGGCGGGCTCTGATACAGCAGGTAGGAGCCCCCTGTCTTCATCAACCTTGGGGTCCTGGCAAGTCTTCTGAGGTACGGGACTCTTCGGTATATTTTCAGCATTGGGATCCTGGTAGGTGAGCTCTGATACAGCAGGTAGGAGCTCCCTTTCTTCATCAACCTTCGAATCCTTGTTTGTGAGCTTCATCGGCGGCTCACTGAGGTCGACAACCTCCGGGGGTGGCTTTGTGATGTTTTTATTAAGTGGGGCCTCCCCACCGGTGGTTGCGCCTTGCGTTGGCTTTTGTTTGGCTACAGAATTTTCGAGCCAAGATCGGACATACTCACTTTTGGAGTGACCATCCTCATCATAGCCGTCCGATTCATCATCTTCTTCAGCCATTTGTAATGAGATCTGTGCGAGTTCCAATTTTATTCTCAGCACTTCCTCACGAGCCTTCAAAACCTTTTTATTGGGCCGAGTGGTCTTCTTTGACCTTGTACTTTTATCGGTGTGGCCCCTTGGTGGTTCTTCGGCGCGGGAATATACCCGGGCTGTTGGCGGTGATGCACAGCGAATGTCATCGTTGCCTTCTATTTGTTTCCTCTGCTTCGGTGTACCAGCTTTAACAACGGCTGGCACTGGCAGGTGTACCCCCCCATCGCAGGGGCAAGCTATCTGTTCTCTCTGCTTCGGTGTACCGGCTTTAACAACGGCTGGCACAGGCAGGAGTACCCCCCCATCGCGGGGGCAAGCTGGCGCCTCAGCGCCTTCTGTTGTGGATGGTGAGCGTGGTGGCATCTGGTGGCGGACGGTGTCGGTATTGTCCGACGGTCCATCATCCAGACCGACAGTCCACGCCATGGTTCCCCTTCCTTGCGAACGAGTGATCGGCATCTTGATTCTGAAATTTCAGCAACTTTAAAACGGTAGTGATTATTTACCCGGTTCCGAAATACTAACGGATTGACGAATCCCGTTCGAATGACCAGCGTATGTGGTCCGGTGTATACGGATGATTCGGCTCAAAGGACCATAAAATGGTCCGGCTGGCAGTTCAATCGGAAGGATCCGGCTCGAAGGACCATAAAATGGTCCAGCCGGCAGTACAGGTGGAAGGATCCGGCTCGAAGGACCATAAAATGTGCCGGACGGGCGTAACTCTCCGGAGTAAATGTTGTCGGAGATACCCCGCGAGTCGCTCACGTCCTACACCTGTAGGTTCCAGACTCCTCCAACTGCCGTCTTTCACTGCCGTCTCTTTGGTTGCTGCGGATAAACTGTGGACTGAGGTTCAAAATTAAAATGCACGATTTGTAAATTAAATTAGCAAGGGAGTGGCCAGCGGATCGACTAATTAATTTGTCGCGAGATTTTACACTGTTATTTATTTATCACTATTTTTCAACTATGATTGTTCACTATATATTTTAAAACACAGATTTAATTAAACACACAGTAATATTAAAATTTCTATTGGTTTTCTAAAATTTCTATTCGTATTTTTAAAATATCTGTTGGTAATATCAAATTTCTATTGGCAGTAACAAGTTTCTATTGGTATTCTCTACAATTTCTATTGGTAATTTTAAATATCTATTGAAAGTAACAAATTTCTATTGGTAGTATCCAAAATTTCTATTGGTAGCAGCTGGTTTTCTAACACTACTGACTAGCAGCTATTAATCAACTAAAATTAGTTGAATTTAAACACTTTTGTAACTGCGAATATCAGTTACCACTTTTTCCGTCTAGCTAACACTTTTCACGAAATGTAACGGCGAAATTTCCGTTACCACTTATTTCAGCTAGCCAACACTTTTTCACTATATGTAACTGCGAATATCAGTTACCACTATTTTTGGCTAGCTGACACTATTTTTCTATGTGCAACTGAGAATTTTCAGTTGCCACTTTTTCCGACTATGTGTAACTGCGATTTTTCAGTTACGACCTTTTTCGGCTAGCTAAACTTTTCTATTTCACTTTAACTTTTCACTGTGTTCTGCTACTAGTCACTTCAGCTACTACCGGATACTGCTGCTTGTTACTGGTAGTTCTTCCTACTACCATGTTACTGTGATTTGCCCCCATAAGGTAGACTTCGGCTATACTCTATAGAGAGCCGCTTGCCAATTCCCATTTGCCTCTTTATTTTCAATCATTTTTCTTTATGCAAATGGCACAAATTGCAACTTTTCTATATAATACAAATCTTAACTCTAACATGCTATACATCATTAAATAGACATTTTTGTTCTACATTAGTATGCGATAAAGGATAATTAATATATTTACATTTAACAAAGTTATTCATTGAAATGTCCTAAACTTTTACACTAATTGGTCATATTAATTCTTTAATTATCCTATAACTTTTAAATCGTGCTTAATTATACAAAATATTTCTTTATTATAACGATCTATACATCATATGCTAACTAAATACCATATTTACAACTCTTTTCAGACATAAAATTATTCTCATTAATTTTTTGCTTAAAACTATTACGCAGTTAATTTAAATTTCCAGAAAGTTCTATAGCGCGGCGCGCTGTGATTGGTCGATATTTTCTTAAACAAAATAAAGTTGTTTATATTAACTATTGTCAAATCGATCTTCTATACAAACATATTGAGAGTTGTAAATACATGGTAAAACTATATTTAATACATTATTTAGTCAATTTTTCCGTATTTTCATTTTTTAAACAAATAAATATTCCTTAATCACTTTCTCGTTTAAAGTCATTTTTGCCGTTGTGAACAGTCATTTTGGCCGTCTCGAACACATATATCCATACAAGATAAAATAAATACATATATATATATAATAATAATAATAATAATATTCCACAACTATCAAACAACGCCATCTAGTCCCAAGCTAAGCAGAGCTTGTGTTATGGGTACTAGACAACTGATAAACATACTTATATATTTCTAAATACATAAATATTATAGATAAATTACACCCAGACACAGAACAAATGATCGTGCTCATCACACAAACATTTGTCCTGGGTGGGAATCGAACCCACGACCTCCGGCGTAGCAGTTAGGGTCACTAACCACTAGACCAACAGGCCAGTCATATATATATATATATATATATATATATATATATATATATATATATATATATATATATATATATATATATATATATATATATATATATATATATATATATATATATAATAAAAAGTATAGTAAATATCAAAGATATGGAGGACAGAGATATATAATGTTCTTTTACACGTTTTTTTAAACAACGTGACTGTTTTGATTTCTCGAATGGGAGGAGATTTTAATTACTCAAATTAGGTGAAAATATAAATGTTTGGGTCTGTAATAGAGGACGTCCTTTGAAGTAAGTTTTTGTTAACCTATGTTTTAGGTCCCTTTATATAGGGGATCTAAGTCTTCACTGGTGATAACTCCAACCACCACAAATTATTATGGCAAAGATGGCTTAGGAGATAGTGGTTTATACTATAACGATTTGGAGCCAGCCAAAGAACAAAGTGCAGTCTCAGCCTTAATTGAACTTTCAAAGAAGTATGAAGGTAATTTTATAATACATTGGCCACTATATATAATTATTCTACGGTACACTTAATTTATTAATTATTTTCATGAGCCGTATTCAATTTGGGACTTAATAATAATTCCTAAATTAAACATAGACTAATGAAAATTATTATCAAATGAAGTGAAATTTTGTAAATGTTCTTGGTTTTTTTTTATAGGATAGGGTGACAAACGAGCACACAGTACACCTACGTAAGTGGTTACTGTAGCCCATAGACATCTACATCTATCCTCGTTTGCGAATCAAAATGTAGATGCGTTGTCACCCGTGAGGACTAAGATGGAATGCCTCTTTTCTAGTAAAAAGGATCTCCGGTTCTCTACATTACAGACCGGATTAAGACCACGCTCTCATAAAACCAGCTTAAATTAGCATTTTAATGCTGATGATTTTCGTATGGTGAGCGTGGAGAACCGGATACCCCTTTTGCTTGAAACGAGTCATTAAATATCTAAGTCCTCAGGGGTGACAACGCATCCGAATTTTGATTCTTTATTGAGTATAATATCTAGATGCAGATGTCTATGTATCACACACCATCCACATACCATCAGGTGAACTGTATGCTCGTTTTTTCACTATTATTCTATAAAAAATAGTAAAAAACTAATTCATGTTATATACTATACAAAACATAGCGCATTATGCTCTTGTTTTAAACTGGCGTTTTTTTATTCCAACACTCCGGGAAGTCTACAGCCTGTGATCGTATTTTAGACGAACCTAGAGAAGGATGTTTCGTGAGCCTATTGAGATTTAAAAAAAACATTCAAATTAAACAAAAGCGTCAATGTGGTTTAACTTTCTTATCTTTAAGCCCTCTCTTTGAGTTCCGCAGGTTTACTTGCTATTTTTTTACACGACCTTTTTCCAACTCAGTTTTCATAACATATTATTAATCTGTATTTAATAAAAAAATGTTTTATTGAAAAGAAATCGTATGCAGCACATTATATGCTTTTTTTTAATAAGTTATTTTATTATTTTTTTATAATACTAATACTGAAGTGACAAACGAACCTACAGCTCACATGATGGTAAGCCCATGAACACCTGTAGTCAACTTTAAACAAGGACGACCAAATATGCGTTGTTGCTTCGGACATTACAGTTCTGTATTACAGTCTGTAATAGTATACTGGCTCTTTTTATCCTGCAGACCGCAGCACAACAGCAGCAGGCAGCAGAAATAGGTAAGAGTTTGGTAGATACTCAGACGAAATTCTAGCCGGAAAAGTTCTTCCAAAGAACAACTGGAATGTTCCTTCTTGAATTTCTGCATTGACGTTGAATTGATTTTGATGTTTTCAGGAAGTTTAACGGTTATAACATTAGGATCTCTAACAAACGTTGCCTTGGCGATGAAATTAGATCCTGGGTTTCTAAACAGACTTCAACAGCTATACGTGGCGGCTGGACATATACATAGTAAGTTCAGGATTATGCTTACTCTAGAACTTTTGGAACATGTGAAAATCGACAAATGTAAAACTTCATTGCATAGTGTAGTTATCACTAAACTTATGTTATGTCGTAACAATTGAAAAGTTTTTGAACGTTACAGTGTCATAGTCTCAGTGTTGCCACTATGCTGAATAGGCCTCCCATAGATTTCCCCATAGATTGCCTCATAGGGGGGATTTTGCCATTATAGCCACGTTTGATAAGCGGGTCAGCAACCGCAGTTTTTTATAATTCTAACTTGTTATCAAGAATATGCTGCTGCGCATCTTCACGGTTAGATGGTTCCTCAGGTAATATAAGTATCAGAGAAACTTTACTGTAGTTACTGTATTTTTAATTGGTATTTATTATTGTATTACATTATTTTTTTATTTAAAAACGGTTTCCGAATGTAATCGTTTATTCTTGTGTATAATATTGTGAGCATATTTATTTTAACAAAATTTAAATACGTATTGAGGGGAAATGATTGGTTGAAGTTACATTATTTTTAGGATAGGGTGACAAACGAGCACATAGTCAACCTGATGGGAAGTGGTTGCTGTGACCCTTAGACATCCACATCTATCCTCAATAAAGAATCAAAATGCAGATGCGTTGTCACCCGTGAGAACTAAGATGGAATACTCTTTTTCCAGTAAAAAGGGTCTCCGGTTCTCTACACTCACCATACGAAATATAGCAGTATTAAGCTGCTATTTTACGCTGGTATTTTGTGATAGCGTGGTCCTTCCCCGGTGGAGCCGACCCATTCGTGCTTCTACTATACTACTAATATAGCTGCAGCATGGCTCTAACACGTAAATTCTATTAAGATAACAAATATATTACAAGCGTACGAAATCGTAAGTAAGGCTAGTCTTTATAAATAAAATAGTAGGTGTACATGTTGGTGATTAAGTTCAGCCGCAGGCCGAGGATGCAAAATACCGATAATTAATGAAATAATATTATAAGTAATTATTTAATTAATTTAAAAATAACAATTTAATTTCTTAAATTAAAGACACGTAACAATTGTTCGATCGTAACAAAAGTGAATCAATTATGGTTAAATAAACTGAAGTTCGAAAATGAAAGTGAAATAGATATAGACTAAACGTTTCCACGGTGGCATCTTTCTGGGTAGCGCTTGGTAGGTCTCTTGCAAAACGGCAAAGCTGAGAAGGAGAAGTTAGAGCCATGCTGCAGCTATATTAGTAGTATGGTTGTAGCACGAATGGTTCGGCTCAACCGGGGAAGGACCACTCTCTCACATAATACCAGCGTAAAATAGTAGCTTAACGCTGCTGCGTTTCGTATGGTGAGTGTAGAGAACTGGAGATCCTTTTTACTGATATGAGGCATTCCATGTAAGTCCTCACGGGTGACAACGCATCTGCATTTTGATTTGTAATAGAGGATAGATGTACTTAGATGTCTATGGGCCACAGCAACCACTTATCATTAGGTGGACTGTGTGCTCATTTGTCACCCTTATCCTATAAAAAAGGTGTTGGTAGGCATCAGCGATTCCCATAGTGGCTCATCGCTTAACAATCGTGTAACTTTTGAAAAACTAAGCAGGGTGACATCATTTAAAAATTAAGTTACTTAAATTGATGCGATATGTGGCGTTTTGTTCAAGCTATTTACAATTTTTTATATACTAACATCAATATTTATTCAATTTTTTGATAAATTGTTATTAAGTAATATATTTTATTCCAGGTGATGAAATTCCATTGCCCGAATTTAATGCGCTCACGGACGTTGAGGCATATCAAGTTGTAACTCAAAACGCAACTCCAGATAAATTGACAATCATTCCATACTCCCAAGTAATGAGATGTTTGAATTTCTCTCGGGTGAGTCGCCTAAGCTACTTGAAAAAAAAATCTATTTGATTATGTGTAACACTGCCACGTCTGCAGAGATGTGCAAAATAGCTTATAAAATGTATTTAAATGCAAAATAATTTTTGTATTTTGTTATTTCAAATACAAAATATAAAATAGTTTGCCACCGTAAGAAAAAAACCTTTCTTCCGGCGCACAGGGAGGCAAGCAAGTATTATACTTCAAGAATAACATTTTTACTGTAGGGTATTTATTTAATGATTGCAGGCTGACATCATTATCTTTCAAATATTGCAATGATTCCAGGTCAACAGTGGTGTTTGCATTTGCACTATCACTAGCTAGTTAGTAATCCGTATCATGATAGAACATGTAGTAGGAGTCATTTCTTTTCTTTCTTGTGTGATGATTGAGGTGTATTATTTACATATTTATGATCATTTTTAAGTTTTCTCACATCTGCAAGGAACAATTCCTTTATACGTTCTCTACTTTCACCTTTAGCTTTAGGAGCCTTCAAATCATGAAAACGTATTTTGCATTCTGTAAATACAAAATATGTCCTAAAAGGCATTTCAAATAAAATATAAAATGCTTTTCGAAAATAAGCATTTAAATATAAAATGGAAATAGGTATTTTGTATTTTGCATTTCAAATACTGTTATTTTTAAATTGTCACATCGCTGCACGTCTGTTAGATTATTATAAAAGCAACATATAGGTACATTAAATGATAACAAGGTATCTGTAGATTTAAACCACTAAACATCCATTCCTCTTAAGTATATTAATGTACATACAATATTTCGTCCAAATGCTATCTCTATATTAATACTAGGCCCTGGAACTCGACATACAGATGTCGTAACATTCGACTAAAGCAAAATCATTTTCTATATACGTAAGGGTTTTAAGCCAATACACAGTGTACCTGATGGTAAGTGGTACCTTCGCACGTAAACACTTACATGTAAATGAAAGTCTTGTTAATTCTGTGGTCACAACATTTAAGCGAGCGAGCATACAAAAGTAGCGCTAATCGGGCGTGTCGGTAACTTGAAGGTAAATGAACGTGATGGATCTCCACTCTGATAACCACCAACAAAATTCTTTCTGTGAAATCTTGTTAAGTTTTATGGTAGCTTGCCATCTGATTTTGACAAATTTAAAAGGGTTGCTCAGCAGTTAGTTACAATATTTGGCAGTACTTACTTATGCGATAAATCTTTTTCAATTACCAATTTCAGAAAAAATTAATATGCACATTGCCTCACATATGAGCATTTGGGAGTCATTCTAATTCATTTCAACCAACAAACATGAAAACTAAATAACGATGAAAGGATAATGTACAACAAATAGCCCTTCAAATACAGCAAATTTTACGAATTTTATCGCGTTTAATTTTAATAAACTTAAACTTAATACGTAAACGTAATTTGTATTTCTTTTTTAAGTTTTTTTTTTTATTACTTTTCCTCATTTCTTTCACCTATTAATTAAATTTAAATAAAATGTTTTTGCAATTTAATATCACCTACATAATACCTATATGTAGATAGAAGGTTGCTGACCGCTGCCACAGGCTAAAAATATTTTATCCTGTTATTCTGTATGAGCGTCACACTTACCTGCTCAAGCTGGCAGCCGAAATAAAAAAAAATACCACAGACTAGTAACGAGTTGTAGAATTACCAGTGCGAAAAAACATGCTTTGTGCCCAGCTCTTTTCTGTCTATATATTTTTTACAAATTTTGTCGCGTATGTAACTTCTGTTAACTTCTAATGAGAGGGCAGGTCATTTTCTCGTATATAAAAGGCGATAGTCACTAACAGTACACAGACTTAGACTGTAATTTTAATACAATAAAGTACGAGTATTAAAGTCTATATGCGTCCCGCTGCTGGGCACAGGCTTTCTCACAATTTAGAAAGAGCTATAAAGCGATCCGCCGATCAGTAAGTTACGTTGCTCCAGTGCGTGTTAGTGGACTTCAAAAAAAAAAGCAAATACCACAGACTAGTAACGAGTTGTAGAATTACCAGTGCGAAAAAACATGCTTTGTGCCCCCCTCTTTTCTGTCTATATATTTTTTACAAATTTTGTCCAGTATGTAACTTCTGTTAACTTCTAATGAGAGGGCAGATCATTTTCTCGTATTTAAAAGCGATAGTCACTAACAGTACACAGACTTAGACTGTAATTTTAATACAATAAAGTACGAGTATTAAAGTCTATATGCGTCCCGCTGCTGGGCACAGGCTTTCTCACAATTTAGAAAGAGCTATAAAGCGATCCGCCGATCAGTAAGTTACGTTGCTCCAGTGCGTGTTAGTGGACTTCAAAAAAAAAAAGCAAATACCACAGACTAGTAACGAGTTGTAGAATTACCAGTGCGAAAAAACATGCTTTGTGCCCCCCTCTTTTCTGTCTATATATTTTTTACAAATTTTGTCCAGTATGTAACTTCTGTTAACTTCTAATGAGAGGGCAGATCATTTTCTCGTATTTAAAAGCGATAGTCACTAACAGTACACAGACTTAGACTGTAATTTTAATACAATAAAGTACGAGTATTAAAGTCTATATGCGTCCCGCTCCTGGGCACAGGCTTTTTCACAATTTAGAAAGAGCTATAAAGCGATCCGCCGATCAGTCTGTTACGTTGCTCCAGTGCGTGTTAGTGGACTTCACATCTCCTCGAAACAATTTATTAACTGTCATGCAGGTTTCCTCGTGATGTTCTTTATCGTCGTCGAGCACTTGCATATCTGATGAATAAACATATTGCACGCATAATATGAATTCTGCCGACACGCACGCATAACGGAATAAATGAAAAGAGGCTGAAGGATGTTTGATCGGATCTATGTTATCCTTTTTGCAAGCGCTCTCGCTTGCAAGCAGGAACCTTCTATTGATTAATTCTTTCGAAATATTTCCAATAGGCTTGGCGACAAGAAGTTTTAGGAGCTATAGACACAGAAGTAATGATAGCACAAAATTTGTTTGAAAAAGTATCTGTGCGGAAGAACGAACGTTGGCAAGCCCTCGACCCGGCAGCTGTTGCGGTTGCATTGAAACCTGACTTAGTTAAAGAATATAAGTATTCGAAGAACGGTATTAAAACTTGCGGTGAGTAAGATTGTTTTTTACATGCTTTCTATTACTTTGAACATTTTGTATCTATCTATTTCATACGTGGTAGAGCCATGCTGCAGCTATATTAGTAATATAGTTGTAACATGAATGGGTCGGCTCGACCGGGGAAGGACCATGCTCTCACAGAATACCAGCGTAAAATGGCAGCTTAACGCTGTTGTGTTTCGTATGGTGAGTGTAGAGATCCGGAGACCCTTTTTACTGAAAAAAGGCATTGCATCTTAGTCCTCACGGGTGACAAAGCATCTGCATTTTGATTCGCAAAAGAGGATAAAGTAATGGAAAATGTATCATACAGTGAACATTCTATTGGAAAATTTGTATCCTCAATAACAATAGGTATTACTGGGTTTTAGCGACGCATGCAGTCAGTTGATGAAATACGTTCATACATTCAGAACAGAATCATCTAGTATCTATTAGTAAAACTAATAATATGGATGCGTTAGGTTAAAAAGTTTTAGTCTCCTCTGTGTGCAAAGGAGCCCCGAGAATTGCATTGCCTAAGGGCTCCTATATGGTTAATCCGGCCCTGACTGTAATCCACGGATACCTGCACCCAAATTCATAAAAAGAAGGGTATTTATAGTCTAGTCGCTTTTGATGACTCACATCCTGAAATTTTACTGGATCTTTATAAATTTCTGATCAGCCACCCTTATCTTGCAGATTGGCGATCGCAATATCAGATTACTTGTGATTTTGACACTGCTTCTCATCTCCGACATGGACACTTTTCTTTTGTTATCATTTTAATAAAAATGAGATTGATGAACGGCTACACAGTTCTATGAAAGCGGATGGTGTCGCCCAAAAACCCTTACATTTTTCCTCAATTAAGAACTTGGAATAACCATGCTGCAGCTTAGTTGTATCATGAATGGGTCGGTTCCACCGGGGAAGAACTACACTCTCACAGAATAACACGTAAAATAACAGCTTACTTCTGTTGTGATTCATATTGTGAGTGTAGAGAACTGGAGACCATTTTTACTGGTAAAGTTATTCCATCTTAGATCTCAGAAGTGACAACTCATCTACTTTTGGATACTTAATCGAGGATGAATGTATATGACTCTGGGCTACAGCATCCTCTCACCATCAGGTGGACTGTGTGCTCGTTTGTCAATCTTATTTTTTTTTAAAAGTCGATGTGTTGTCACTATTGAGGACTAACATGGCAGGTCTCGTTAACAGTAAAAAGCATTTTTAATTATTATAAATCACCATAAATACAGAGTAGCTTTATATTTTTATTTTATCCTGGTATAATGTGAAAGCGTAGTCCACCGGTAGAGTCAGTCCATTCGTGCTGCAGCGAAAACATATAGCTGTTACAGCGTTACATACACATAATATAATATGTAACATCAATTCATTCATATTATGTTTTTTTTAGGTGACCAACGAGGCATCAATACAAATGAATTTGTTTCTATGCAAGATGCAAATGTTAGGGTAATTTATTCCGTCCATGAAGAAGAATATACGCAATTTTTGTTAAATGTACTTTCAAAACATGCATGACGAATAAAATCCACATTTACAACTACTTTGCTTTGAAACAACGCCATCTACAAATTTGCATAGGAACTACATTATAAAAGCCATCTAGTAGAGATTCTAAGAACAATTCGGTCTTTAGTGCTTGCAAGTTTATATACGTAGATTTAATTATTTTGAGTTGTAATAAATTTAATGTATATTCAAAGATGGCGCTACAGCAAAAACACCTAAAACTAATATTTCAAGCGTCAATGATCTACGACGACGCCACCAGGGCGGCGCCAAATAAAAAAATTAATTTGTTCGAAAATTGGTAATGTTTATTTCTGTATTATTAGTTATATTTTATATTAATTAGATTAAAAATAAATAAACCAAACCTATCCATATTAATAAATTTAGAAAATTAAAAAAAAGAGAAAATGTGCAGAAAATTAAAGAGTAATCCACTAAGATGATAAACTTTTATCTTAAACTAACTTCTTAATTAAATTACATTTTGTAACATAAAACTACACCTCTGTGTGTCAACTAGCGACATCTGGTGAGCGGAAGATTATTTGCCACACTGACCTGTACCTATATGTACCTGTACCCACGTACGTGCCCTCATTAACCCTTTCGCTGTCCCGTGCACTACATATGGATCACAGCTATTGTCTTACTATTGTGTCTGAAAACCGGACAGTGAAAGTGTTAATACAAAAGCAGGTAAAATAATGTCAAGTAAAAATTGTACAATTATTCCTTAACCTTCATTGTTTAATATCATACTTTTTAAGAATATATTTTTAATTGAAAGCATTTTTATTTTCAAAAATGAAAAGAATCAAAGTTTTATAAGATGTTCACTGCGATAGAACATAAAACGAATCTCCTGCGTGACACGAGATCCGGGGGAGACTCGAATTTTTATTGATTGTTTTATAGGAGTAAGGGTGACAAACGAGCACACAGTTCACCCCACTCTAATTGGATCCTTTAGCCTAAAGACATTTTTATATTATACTTTTTTAAAAACGAAAACGCAAATAAGTTGCCACCTGAGAACTAAAAAAAATCTTCGGTTGCTGGCACACATCATACAACAGATTAAGTAATATGAGGCCATACGAACCACAGCCGTATTTGCTGTTATTTTCTACCGACTTTTTAACAGTGGTAGAGCCATGCGGCAGCTTTTGCTGTCGCACGGATGGGCCGGCTCGAACCGGGGTGGTACCACGATCTCACAGAAAACCAGCGTGAAGTAGAGGTTTGCCTCTGCGTTTCGCCTGGTGAGTGCAGGTGGCCGGAGGCCATTTTTACTGGAAATGAGGCATTCCATCTTAGTCCTCACGGGTGACAACGCATCTGCATCTTGAGTCTTTATTGAGGATAGATGTAGATGTTTATGGGTCACAGTAACCACTTACCATCAGGTGGACTGTGTGCTCGTTCGTCACCATATCCTATAAAAAAAAAAAAACAAAAAAAAACATTCCACCTAACGTCCGTGTCAAAGACGTAACGTCCATGTCGTGCGGTCAGTGAGTAATTGACTCACTGACCGCACGACATGGAGTTGTTGTGGTACTAAAGGCCATGGGTTCGAATCCCGCACGGAAAAAGTATTTGTATGACCTACAAATAATTGTTCCGGGTATGGTTGTTTATATTTGTGCAATTTACACTTGTAAACTGCCTCCATATAAAATAAAAATCCTAGTGATGCGGTGACGTTTATTTTTTTAATAATAAGCAAAAGAAAAAACAAAGCAGTTACGCGACTCCACCTCATATCCCGTGTTTATGTGTGCTGCATGCTGTTGATTTCATTCATTCATAACAAAGGTCACTATGCCGAACATAGGCCTTCCCTTAGACTGGGGATGTATGTCATAGTTGCAGGTTGGCAACCACAGTTTCTTTATTTTCTGGTTGCTATCAGGGAGACACTGCTGCTCATCTTCTCGTTTGTTTCCTTTGTCACCTCTTAGAATACCTACAGGACGATGTGGGGTATAGGATATTCTTGCACCGCCACAACACAACATGGAAGGCACAGCATAGAAGGAACCGTGCTACCTTAATTCTGGTCTGTTTTAATTTCTTTGTTACATGGGTTTGGATGGCTGTTTCCTGCCGACTTCAAGAAAGGAGACGGTACTTAATTCGACTGTATGTTTTTTTTTAATGTGCGTTACCTCATAACTTTTTACTAAGTGAACCGATTTCAATGATTCGTTTTTTATTTGAAAGCTGGTACTTCTTGAGTGATCCCATATGAATTTCATCAAGGTCAGACCAATAGTTTTTGAGTTATTCTTAATAACTTATATTGAAGTCGGCTGTACCAAATTATTAATTTTAAATTATATTTTATAAATAGAATGAGAGTGACAAACTAGCACACAAACCACCTGATGGTAAGTGGATACTGTGACCCATAGATATCAACATTTACCCTCGATTAAGAATCAAATTTCAGATGCATTGTCACCCCTGAGCACTAAGATGGAATGCATCCTATCCAGTAAAATGTGTCTCCGAGTATCTACATTCACCATAAGAAACACAGCAGCATTAAGCTGCTGTTTTACGCTTGTATTCTTTAAGAGCGCGGCCCCTCTCCGGTCGGACCGATCCATTCGTTCTGTAACTATAAAATAGCTGCAGAATGACTCTACCACTTAAAAAGGTATTATTGTAAAAATTTCTACCAACTTCAAACAGGAGGACGTTCGACTGTATGTTTTTAATGTGTGTTACCTAATAACGAGTCTCTGGGTGAACCGATTTCGATTATTCTTTTTTTATTTGAAAGCTGGTGCTTCACATGTAGTCCCATATAAATTTGATCAATGTCTGATCAATAGTTTTTGAGTAATTTTTAATAATTTGTATTGAAGTCGGTTGCACAACATTTTAAATTTTAAATTATCTTAGTATTAATATGTGCGAGCGTTATCTTTCCCGGGTGTAGTCGACTCAATCGCGCTGCAGTATATTACACTAAAGCGTTGCTCTGCCGTGTAGTGGCGGTTAAGAATATCCACCACCCTATATCCTCCCGTGGGTGTCATAAGAGGCGACAGTGGGAAACAGGCAGGAGATGGGCAGCAGCATTCCTGATAACAACAAACTTACAATAAAAAACCTGCGGTTGCCAACCCGCTCACCAATTGTGGCAACTATAACAAATGCCCATGATGGGAGTAACAAAGAGACGGCCCCCAGTCCCCTGCGGCCCCACTATTCCTGGCTATGGTGGCGACCATGGCAACGGCGGGGCAGGGGGTGCTAAGAATCTCCAGTGGAGACGACTCAACCTGGCAACATACAACGCACGCACCCTAAAGACTGACGAGAAGATCGTAGAGCTGGAAGAAGAGATAGACAAGTTACGCTGGCATATTATAGGATTATCCGAGGTCCGAAGAGAGGGGGACGACACGGTAATCCTCGAATCCGGCAACTTGTTCTATCACCGGGAGGGCGACCATCTGTCCCAAAGAGGTGTCGGATTTATCGTCCACAAGTCTCTCGTCAACAACGTTGTAAAGATTGAAAGTGTGTCGACGAGAGTTGTGTACCTTATACTCAGAATCACTTATATTCGCTGAATATTATACAGGTTTTCGCACCAACCTCGGCACATCCCGATGAGGGTGGAGGAAATGTATGAGGATATATCTAGAGCTATGCATTCCTCCAAAACCCACTATACGGTGTTAATGGGAGACTTCGATGCAAAACTAGGCACAAGAGAGAACGGTGAGCTGAAAGTAGGGAAATTTGGAATAGGGCAAGGGAAACCAAGGGGCCAGCAGCTGGCCGACTTCATGGAGAAAGAGCGACACTTTATGATGAACTCTTTCTTCCAGAAGCGGCCCCACGGAAAGCGGACCTGGTCGAGCCCCGACGGTTCGACAACAAATAAGATTGACTTCATTATGACGACCAGACGACAACTGTTCAGTGATACTCGTATCTCCGTGATCGCGAGGATGAAAACTGGTAGCGATCACCGAATGGTTAGATGCACACTAAACCTAAACGTTAAGTTGGAGAGGTCTCGTCTAATGAGGTCAACGCTCCGCTCAATATACAAAATTTGACCTGCTCAAAGTTCAAAAACTTTATTAAACTAAGTTTGTATAAAAAGGGTTATTATAATATTAAAGAATTTATGGATGATAATAACCCCTGGAAATGTGGTGATCGCTACCAAGCATTTTCTAATTTGTTGTGTTGTTAATTTGTGTAACATACATGGTTGTAAACTGTTATTTAAAAAAATAAGTCCCGCTGGATTTCTTGCTGGTCCTTCCCAGGACAGAGGTTTTTTTTTCGAACCAGTGGTAATTAAACAAAAGAGTGACTTTCAATAAGTATTATGTACTTATGATCTATTTTATATTGAATAAAAAAGTTTCTGTTTCTGTTTCCGTCCCCCTCGTGCTCTAGTCCAAAGTCCCGAAACCTTTCAGCTCGAGTTACAAAACCGTTTTTAGTGCCTAGAAGACTGCAATGAAGTGGACGATATGAATGACAAGCTCTCGGAAACTGTCCATGCGGTCGGAGCTAAGTTCTACAAGACCCGCCGCAGAAGAACACAAACACTCTCTGATCACACTCTTAATCTCATGGCTGTTAGACGGGAGATGAAGCTACAGTCTTCAATAGATTTGACAGTATACAGGCAACTGAATAGACAGATCTCCACATGCATGCGGCGGGACTTACGCAACTTCAACACAGCTTGTATTGAAGAAGTGATCGAGCGAAACCAAGGCTCCAAAGTCTTCGCCAGAGATCTGTCTGCCAGGAAGAGGCAACTGTCAAAGCTGAAGACCGAGTGTGGCAGCATCGTTTCCAGGTCACCTGAGATTTTGAGTGAGATTGAGAGGTTCTATGGGCAGCTGTACACGTCATCGTTGGAGCCATGCGCAAGTGTGAGTAACGACCAGGAGCGAGTCTTATCCGAAACTATTCCGATGATATCCTGGACGTTAGTCTGAGCGAGATTAGAATGGATCTCCAGCACCTTAAAAACGGCAGGGCCGCAGGTGAGGATGAAATTATAGTGGAGCTTTTGAAAGCGGGTGGAAAACCGGTACTTGAAGTCCTTAAGAAGTTCTTTAATTCTGTCCTCCATGGTGGCACTACTCCGGAGACGTGGAGCAGAAATGCGATGGTCTTGTTCTTCAAGAAAGGCGACAAAGCTCTCTTGAAGAACTACAGACCGATTTTCCTTCTGAGCCGCGTCTACGTGCTGTTTTCGAGAGTCATTACGAATCATCTCGCACGCAGATTCGACGACTTCCAGCCTCCTCAACAAGTCAGTTTCCGAAAAGGCTTTAGTACCATAGACCACATACACATTCTTCGGCAAATTGTTAAGAAGACAGAGGAGTATAATCTGCCACTTTGCATTGCGTATGTGGACTATGAGAAAACCTTTGATTCCGTCGAAATTTGGGCGGTGCTGCAGTCCCTTCAGCGGTGCCAAGTTGACTGTTGGTATATCGAAGTGCTGAAGTGCTTGTAGAGTATGGCTACGATGTCTGTCCGAGTACAGGACCAGAGTACGAAACCTATTCAATTGCAGAGAAGTGTAAGACAGGGTGACGTTATATCCCCGAAACTCTTCAACGCTGCATTTGAAGACGTTTTTAAGCTACTGGACTGGAAAGGATGCGGTATTAACATCAATCGTGAGTACATAACTCACCTTCGATTTACCGACGATATTGTCCATATGGCTGCATCGCTGGAGAACCTAAGCACAATGCTCAATGACTTCAATAGTGTC